CGAAAAATCATTGTGCATTCCAGTTTTTTCATTAAGAAACATATTGAAACTGGTTTTATTTATATGACTTTTTTGTCTGAAAACAAACATCTCACAACATATCTTACAGAGAGAGAAGATAAAATGATTTTCCGGTAATAATAAGTCTTTCGTGGACTTCTTCGAATAGGTCTCATATATTTCCGAAGAAATTTTGTACCTCACGTCTGTACCCTATTTGGAGGAAAGCTGTACTTCTCGTGCGCCCAGTTTCTCATCTTCGATACCCCATCTGAGACCTGAACAGTTGGTAACCCTGCCATTGATCAATCATTCAGCATAAAAGAAAATTTCTATTTTAAATTTTATTCTTCACTTCTTTCATCAAAAATAGCCATTAATCTTTTATGAATAGAATTTATTTTTCATCGAGAAAATACATTAACAAACTACACATAAAATATTCAAACATTGCCATCCGTGTTCATTTTAGTTTCTCAATGATAGAAAACTTAACAATACAATGAAACTTTTTAACATCTTGAATTTTTTATCGATAAATATGAAAAATGAACATAGGATATCTTTCGAATGTTAACTAAGGAAAAAAGACAAGTGATAAAGATAAATGCAATCTTAGTAAATGAATGAAAAGAAAACTCCAGATAAATTATTTTCATCACTTTTTTTTCAAAGAAAAATCACATTTTTCACTTGGAAAAACTCAATAATACAGTCATTTTCCATGCCAGAATAGAGAACTTCAAATGCGAATGATATTTCGCCTATGTACTTTATAAAAATGTGTATGTTAAGAGATACTCATTCGAAAGACAAGTAACGCTCGTCTAGCGACTCGCTCAGCTCTTTCTCGTAGAAATCGTGCTTCCAGATATTACACTTTAAAGCTATTATTGTGTATATTAATTTATTTTTAGTGTAGATTAGCTATTTTCACAAAAGTAGTAATAGATATTTATACCAAATATCAAATCGAGAACCAGATATTCTAAATAAGTATCAATGTAATTAAGTAGATTATGAGTTATTACATGAAAAAAGAAAATAAGAAAACACGATAGGAAATATCTTCTACAATGAGAGAAAAGAAACGATTACTACAATAATTAAGATAAGTGTAAAGAGGGAGGTAAAAAAATGAACATATACGAATAATTATTTTAAGATAATTTGAAAAATGATAATGAATTTTATGTGCTTGTAATAACACTAAACTCTTAACAGTGTATCGATTTATACACGTTCAAAAAGCGGAAGAGGTACATTCTCATTTTGTCAAGTTCATCTAGACGTTTCAGTTCAGCGTCTTGAGCAAGAGAAGGTCGAACTTGTAAACAAGTTATGCATGTTTTTTTGAAAATCGGCATCCTCGGTTTGAAAAATTTTTTATTGATGTGAAGCTAGCACAAAAAATAAGTATTTAGCTGAAGCCTTTTCAAAAAAATATGGCCGGTGAATAAAAACTAGTCTATTCGAATCAGAATTTAATTCTGCATCGAATGGTAAAATTTTTATTCACCAGCCAAGATTTAGAGAAAATCTCACCTTCACCTTTATTCTTCTACTGCGTAAGAGGAGAAACCTAGATAAAAAAATTTCAAGAGCATGGCCGGTGAATAAAAATTTCACCATTTCATGCAGAATTAAATTCTGATTCGAATAGGTCAGTTTTTATTCACCGGCCGTATTTTTTTTGAAAAGGTTTCAGCTAAATACTTATTTTCTGTGCTAGCTTCACATCAATAAATTTTTTTAATTCTGAAAAAAGTAACATCAGATTTGCCCTCTTCGACCCCAAGATCTCTTCGGTAAATTTTTATTAAAAAAAAAACAGTTTTTTTGCAAAAAAAGTCGCCCTTTGTGTAGAAAAATTTATGCATGTAAACATTTGAAAAAATAACGCCAGATTCGAATTTATCGACACAATACGGTTCTTAGTCAAATTCAAAAAAAAACTTTTTTTGTAAAAAACGGCCGTTTGTTTAAAAAATTTTTTCTGCAAAATTTAAAAAAACTAACATCATATTCAAGTTCCCGGACCCCAAAAACCATTCGGCCAAGTTTTATCGATAACAGTCATTTTACTAATAGTTTAGTAATAAGTTAATAGCAATTACTAATTAGTAAAAACTAACATCAGATTCGAACTCTCCGCATCGAAATACCTCTGGAAGTGTCTTTTCGGAAAAAAAAAGAAGATTTTCGATGTTTTTTTGACCCGGCGGACATACAAGCAGACAAGCAATCAATTTATGTTTCTAAGACTCTTCTCTACGAGAGAGAGAGAATAGGATTTCTTAGTTTGGAAAGAATTTTTCAACAACTTTTTTTTCTCTATTAAAGCAAATTGAGTAGCATGGGACAATTCAGATGAAAATTTCTATTTTTCATTTTTGTTTTATTTCTCTCTCCGCTATTGAAACGTGATAGAAAACTATGCTCTCTCAACTCGCGAAAGAATCTCGTTTTCTCGTCATAACTGGTAGGAAAAATCAATTGTCGTAATCTTCTATACCTAGATCAAAAAATCCGATGCTGGATCCGATCGGACCCGACGGGATTAGGGTTACCAACTGTACCCCATTTGGGGGTACAGCACCTCGTTTCGATATTCTTCAATAGACTCTTATAAACAATACGTAGTGTAACATCTTTTTATTAAAAAAACTAGAACAGACTTTTTGCTACAACTTCTCTCTTGAATTTCGGGCAGATGAGAAATGTAAAACCACGTCGTCCAAATTGCTTAAAAGTTCGCGATCTTGTCGTAGGGCTGTGCTTCAATTGTTGAAGAGATGATTTCGCAAGTTATTTCGAGGATCGAGAATTTTCTGAAACTCTTTCAACAAGGTGGTAACAATTAACCGATCATATCACTTTAGTTAAACAAACTGACCGTATTAAACTATTCTGTCTCAGCAGTTAAAAAGAGTCGATGGCTCTACTGCAAGTGAGTAATTAGACTAATGATAAAACTATGAATATATATGTTGCTAAAACTGATGACTTTCATTGATTTTCACTACAAGATCGTGGACGGTGTACGATTTTGACAGTGAAAATACTGATTGTTGGTGATTATAGCAAAAAAATTTAAAAGGAGACCGTGATTCTCTGGCAGTATTGTCGTAGTTGTGACAATACGGGAATTTCATTATCTGATGAGTGAACTATATGTAAATAGAGCATTATCGTTTGTCAATGACTAATCTTCTTAGTTTACATTTCTCACGACGTCCTCGAAGTCACAGTCGATCATAAATCGATTAAACTCCTTACATTTGAAAAATTTACATGCCGCTATTTTAACTGGTTTGAAGAAAATCGAAAAACTATTGTGCTTTCCAGTTTTTTCATTAAGAAACATATATTGAAACTGGTTTTATTTATATGACTTTTTCTGTATGAAAACAAACATCTCACAACATATCTTACAGATAGAGAAGATAACATGATTTTCCGGTAATAATAAGTCTTTTGTGGACTTCTTCTTCGAATAGATCTGATATATTTTCGAAAAAATTTTGTACCTCACGTATGTACCCTATTTGGAGGAAAGGTGTACCTCTCGTGCATCCCATTTCTCATCTGCGATACCCCGTTTGAGACCTGAACAGTTGGTAACCCGGTTCCAACTACAACTTGATAAGCTCTATCGGTTCCAATCATAAAAGACTTTCACTCTCACCCGCACTGTCAATCATCGTAAACCGCAGGTTTTTCTATACAAACAATCATAAATGATGCTTCTAGATAAGGGTGTGGAAATGGATGGGGTGAAAATTTTTTATGATTGGAACCTACGCTGAAACAAATCCGCTCAAGAAAATGTCGAATCCTGCTCGAAGGTATCCTACGTGGCTTGATATGTTTCAAGGTTAATAATGGATACATAGGTTGTGAAATCTATAAGCTTTTCACAGAAGCTCAACAGATTTAGATCAAACTGGTCAATTTCAACATATGGCTGTCTTACCATTAAAATATACTTTCTATCACATGTTCTGTAGAAAGCTAAACAACAAATCTACTGGTGCCATACATCCTTTTCTCATACGTATTTGTTTCGGTGCATATTGGATAGCGGTGAACGCTTGCAAGTTGGTCGTTTTCTTCAATAAGTGGTTAATTTATATATTCAATAGAAAAATATCTGACAACAAAAGATGAGCACATAAAGAAAAGTTTATTTCAACTTAACACACTATGGATCAACGATTCCGTACTTGTAGCGAACAATTTAAAGTCATCCATGACGAAATCGATGATAAATGACATACGATCTTTTCTTTCCATAATATGATCTAAAAGAAGAACAAAGTCAAATTTCCTATATTAAATGAACTCGAGTTTCTTACAAATTTCCAATCCAGGTCGATCATTCCGGCGACCGGATGCGTTTAAATCTGAGCCGGTTTCGACATAATTCCGGTCGTTTCCAGTCGAATTCAGCAGGTTTCGAGGAAGATTCCGGCGCCAAGGCAATCATCGGAAAGCAAACTTAACCGATCGGGCCACAATGATCTGGGTAGCCGCACATTCTTGAGGGTGGGTGAGGGGTGAGGGTGTGTTCTTCCATTTTAAATACTTTTTCAAAGTTCATTTATTTCGTTGCTAATCACGAAAAGATAGAGGACGCCATAGGATAGCTTCTTCATTTATGTCTGTTTCATGTAATAAAGTTTCAATGTGCATTTATTATCATTAACTGACTTATATAGCTATTGATCCGATTCATTCCTTATATTGTATTTGCTTATATTACAAGTATTGCCATTCTATCATGGATCATTATTCACTTCTAACCTTGTTCTCTAGGTCTACGCAGAGTCAAGCACCAATATAAGATAAGTTTAACTAAATAATCGAGTACTTTGGATGAAATTCAGGTTCAATTGAATTGGATTTATATGAGTTATGTCAACAAGATTGTTCTGTTTGTAAAATATTTACAAATATTTTGGTAATATTCTTTTTTCGATTATATCGCTTTCCGCATAATGTCGTTGGGTTGGTGGAAAGGTCTTGATGCCTCCGCTTCTGTAGTCACGATCGATGGATATCCATTGGGACAAGTGAATAAGCTACGACATCGACAAGAATATACAAATCCAATTGCCAAATGTTCGTTATTTAAATTGTATTTTGAACTGAAAAAGAATTTATCATCACCCTCAGTGACGACATATGCACAAGCAAAAGCATTCTCGTCGAATTTACCGAGAGATGAGTTTATGACAAAATATCCAGGATGACTACAAACCGATTCAGATGTGTTTTAGTCATTTATCGTCAATTCTTCATCTTCATCAAAATGAGATAAGGACGAAGACTAACATTTGTTAGATTTGTGTTAAAATAAAACAAAACGGTTTTCACTCAGAAATCTATCAACTCATACGAATCGTCGACGCTATTTCGAAAGGCAAAGTTCTTGTGAGTCGTTTTATTATAAATACGAGAACGTCGGACCGAGCTCCAAGAAAACTTACTCTTGTTGGAGAACGAGATTTGATTAAAATCGTACACAACAATATCAATCGAAAGCATTACAAATTTGTAACAGTTCAATAGGGAGCCATTCAAAAGTTTTGTTAATTCAGATTGGTTCATCTCACAAATAAGCCTGTATTTGATTGATCGTCTTACTTGATATGGTCTCTTAGTCTGACGTGTGTCAATAAATTCCATACTAACGGACATCGTTTTGAAATAACTCTGCTGATTGGATGATCCTTTTTATTTCCGAATGATTAAGTTCATATCCTTGAGGTATGAGATACAATATTCTCTTAAATAAAATCGTAACTACCAAAAAATGTATGAAATTTTTAGTTAACTAAAAAAAATCTCTCTCTCTCTCTCGCACCGATTTTCGCATTCTATTGAACCTGAACTGACAAATTGATTCGATATGTTTCTTTTGTTCGGTTATATTGATCAGATTAAAATAGTTGTCAACTGAATTGGAAAAAACATGGACTGTTCATCCTTCTAAAGCGTTTATTAAGTCATTTAGGCAACAAAGTTTGAAATATTTTTTTAAACATTATGAACGGCCTTTAAAACGTTTGTTGGATACGAAAAACGACACACAAAGATAAAGTTTTCGAATTAGTTAACAAGAGAAAAAAGCAATGACATCATACGATCTTTTATCTGGAAGTTTCATCATGTGTGATAATAGTTGACTTCTAAAATATAGATATCATTATCAGTAACTAATAAATATCACAGTTTTTTCGCTTTCTCTGCTCATTTCTCAACATCATTCTCGACAAAAAACAACAACAACAATGATGAAGATCTTCTTCGCCGTTTTCATAACTATTCTCCTACCGATGATGAGTGATGCTCGTTGTAGCTATGGTTGCTCCTGTTCTGATGATAGTCCATGTGAAAATTACTGTGAAAATAATATATGTCAAAATGCAATTCCGCTAGGGCAAAAGTGCTCAAGCTATTATTTTCATCCTCGACAATGTGGAATTGTTTCATATTGCGATCCCGATTCAGACTATACTTGTCAATTACAAAAGAATTATGGTGCGTCTTGTACATATGATTATTCATGTTTGTCTGGCAATTGTGATTACGCATCAAAGACATGTCAATCTAAATCATTCAATTTTTTATATCCAATTGTTATACCAGCTGTAGCAGTCTTCTTTATTATCATAATCATTATTATTTCGGTTAGTATACGTCGACAAAGAATGCGGGCATTAGCACTTTATCGAGCTCCCTATGTGGTTCTACCAGCAGGTACTCCATATTCGTATCAAAATCCTTATATGGTTGCAGAAGTTCCACCACCAGCTTATCCAGGTGCTACACCAGCACCAAAACCGTATCAAAGTGCATAAGACTGAATTTTGAAAAATATTGTAGATGGCAATTTAATGTGTCGAAAGAACAATAAAAATTGCATAAATATCTACGACTTCTTCTAAAAACCAGTCATACTTTTTCAGATCTCTGGAGTTGATGGTTTTTTTATTATTTAAACTTTGTGAAATAAGCACGAAATTTCGCGTTACTCGAATAATTGCAAATTCCGTGATGAAATACGAATTTCGACTTAACGAGACAAGACAGAGTTTGAATCGGATATGTATGCAATATCTTGTTTATTGAAGTAGCACGCGAACATTGATTCATACTTTATGTCTTCATAAAGAAAAGAACCAAACTGATAGATCATCAGCTCTTTTTGGTTAGATCTCAGTGAAGTGTAGGTATTCTGTTGAGAAGACTTTTTCTCCGGAGTAGAAAATAAAAGCGTTTATTACAAATATAGAACGCAGGATTTTAAATGCTAATAAAACCTAAGAAAATCGATGTATCATGTAATACAGTAAACGTGACATGGTTCACGTGCAACAAATAAATCAAAAACGTTAATCATTAAGAATGTCGGTACTGCACCCAAGGTTGATCCCAATTGTACACTGATACCAAAATAGAACAGACCGTTTTTGTTTGACCATTGATCTTTAATTCGATTACCTATCGTGATGCGTACATAACCAGTTATCAATGCCATTATCAAATCGCTAAATATTATAATGAATCCTCCATGAATAGTATCCGCCCACCAAGGACATGGACTTTGAGTAGCAATAACAATTAAAAATATAGCGATGATATACGAAAAGATTGATGCAACAATGGTGGAGATAATTGATAGATGGGGATGTCGAATACTGAATACTAAAACCATTGTATATCCTATTGTATTAAGAAAAGTAGAATAATAAAGTGCTTTTTGTCCATATGGTAATATAATGTAGGTAATTAACGATGGTAAAATACCGTACACTACTAACGAATTAACAACATTTATACAAAGAAGAAAAAGAAATGTTTTCTCTGTTGTTTGTTTTGATACTATTGCTATTGGTGATTGAACGGATCCGTTTGTCGAAATGATTGCTGACTTTTCTTCTTCATTAAGTACGATATCTAGCTCCGTTTCTTCACTACAATTAGCCGGTTCTGCGGCATCAGCCAATGAGATTATGTTCGTCCATCGAAGTAAAAGAAATGCCAACAAAGACGCAACAATAATACCGGTGATAACAAACATATATACCCGAACACTAAATCGTGGTTCGGTAAAAGTGGGTTTCAAGAGAGTATCATTGCTTGTTCTGACACAAATCGCTTCACCTCCTATTCCTTGTAACAACAATAATACTGTTGGAATCGTACCTGTAAATCCTTCGCCAAGAAAAGCAGCAGTTAAGTACAGACCACGAAATCGTTTCATATAATCGAAAAACACCAACGATGACGTATTATCAAGCAAGGATATAGTAAAAACCAATCCAATTAACCAAACGCTTCTCTCACGACCAAATAAATAAACTGTTTTGTGCCACAATAAAGACAATAGAAAGCACGAAACAATTCCAATAGTAATAATCAAATAGATATAAGGAATTTCCGAAAATTTTTTTCCTTGATACCAACGTAAAAAGACTACTATAACTGGCAATAGATTTGCTATACAATTACATACTAACATCATAGATGGCAATGCCCATCCTTCAGGTGCCAGTGGTATGATTAACGGTAGTTCAGTAAATACACCATATAGATCAATCCATGAACTTAAATTCATAACAGCAATCAATCCGAAACATATCAATTGTGCCGTTCTCCTAAAAGATGTAATAGATTATTTTTTTTTAAATCGCATTTTACTGAAAATATGTGACTTTACATTTTTGATGGTTGAAGAACAGAATTATTCGACTCTATTGAATCGGCGATAGCAACGTTCGGTATCATTCGTTTTCAAAGTTTGAAACACGTGTGTCGTGATAGAATGAGGCGATTAATAGCAAGAGCGTTATGTTATGCATGAATAGTTTTATTTATTTCTCTTTCCATCTTCGATACAAAACGAGGCAAAAACCTGATAGCGTTTAATGGAATCCAAATGATTCTTGTACTGACTTATTTGAGGATGATTGTACGGCAACGTCATGAGCGCTTGTTCAATGGCTTGTTCACAAGCAATCGATGCTTCATCGAATTGTTTTAATTTCAAATGCGTTTGAGAAAGATCAAAATATAAAGTCGCAATTTGTTGATCATGACGCTGTAAGATTTTCAATGCGATATGCAATGTTTTTTCATAGAGAATCAAAGCTTCGGTGTACATTTGCAGATGAAAATACACTCGAGCAGGTCGATGATAAACAATCAATAGCGAAGGATCATCGTGTTTCAGATGAGTCAGATACAATTCGAGTGATTCTTGATAGGAAATGATTGCCAATTCATACTTTTCTTGTTTGTCATATATATGTCCAAGATTATGAGTAAATAGTGCTATAGCATTGACATCAGTCTGGAGAGTTTTTTTTGATTGTTCGACAGATTTATACGAATATTCTTCAGCTTCGGACCATCGTTTTAGACCCATATAGGCCGTTGAAATGTTATGATAACTAGTTGCAATCGAAGAATGATCATTTGCTAGGGAATTTTGTTCAATTTCTAATGCTTTTAAATAGAAGGGAAGCGATTCTTCGAAGCGATCTTGTTGAAAGTATGTACTAGCAATAAGATTGTTTGTTTTGGCTAGGGATGGATGATTTGGCAGGAAATACTGTTGTTGAATGTCTAACGCATGTTGAAAATGGCTCAATGCTTCTTGAAATTGTTTTCGTGAAAGAGATTTTGAACCAAGTTTTATCGAATGATCAGCTGCAGCTTTTGGATCCAATTTCAATGAACTTTCTTCTAATGCATTGGCTTTCTCTCGATAGAGATCTACAAGAAAAGGACATTGAATCACACATTAAAATGATCCAATTTTCAACTTACTGGCTTGCTCTATATTTCCTTGATTTCGATATACTGAACTGAGATATCCGTAAGTTTCTGCGATTGACGGATTGTTTTCACCTAAGAATTGTTGTTGTAACTCGAGAGCACGCTTATGATATGTCAATGCTTCATCATATTTCTCTTGGTGTGAATAAATTTTACCAACATTGTTTGTATAAGTAATAACCGAATATAAATCTGGTTGATCTGAACCGATTTGACAGTCTAAAGCTAGTTGTTGGTATTCCAATGCTTTTTCATAATTCGATCGCGCTAAATAAACACATCCAATGTTATTGTAGACTGGTGTCAGGTTCTGATGATCAGCAGGAAGATATGTCAAGTAAAATTCCAGAGCCTTTTCGGAATGCTCTAATGACTCTTTAAGCTGCTCACGATTAAGGTAAATTAAGCCAAAAAATTGATAGATAGCAGCAGATACGAAGATATTACTATTTAACATTCCATCATTACGAAGAATTTGAGCAAATCGATCGAGATAAGTGTAATCGGACAGTTGATTCATCAATCTCAGAAGTGATAAGAAACAATGAGTGAAGCCAATCTGTTGTCGAGTAACACTCGTATATGCTGCTAATTGTTCATCCATATTTTCACTCAATGTTAATTTCACACGATAATAATCATTCTCTTGCGTAATTTCGACAATGCGAAAGACACTACCCATGGAAAATAATAGTTCATGCTCACAAAATTCTGTTTGCAGATATGGAATACGTTCGATGTTGACGATTGGAATATCTTGTACTGATGGATCGATATGCATCTCGAATAAAACGCCGACTTTGGAGCCGAAAAGGAAATTCAAGGCGATATCTTTCTGTAATGATGTTGAGAGAAAATTGTTAAATGAAAGAAAACCTCCGAGATTATTTTTTATCTTCTCGATTTGATCTTCGGATATACTTTGTCCGCGATAAACGATCATTTTCGATAGACTAGCTCGTTGTTTTTTGCCTTCGGCAACAATTTGCTTATGCAGATGTCGTAGGAAATATCTCAGTCGATAAAGAACATCGATTTCGACTTTCCATAGAGCTTGGTTCAACATTTGATGGAGAAAACATTCTCTCGTATACCAGTAGATCGCAAGTTCAGGAATAAAATTTTTTTCAAACTCGTCAAGAATGACGATCGCCGTTGGATTGTGAACATTTACCTCTCGGCAATAGGCTAGCATCTCATCTTTACTCTGTTGATCCAATTCTAATAGATAATTGTGTGTAAGAACTTCTTTCAATAGTTGAAAATACATAAACGATGGATCTTGTCGATTTTCACCCGATGAAATGATATCCGTCGATGAGACGAATGACAATGCGATTGGATCGCGATTTCTTTCATGTTGAATTCGGCTTGGAATTGATCTGATATCAGAAACGACTCCTTTGACTTTCGGATAATCTTTCGTCCATTGGTTGTCGGTTGTCTTTGATGAAAAGAATAGATAAATCGATGCGATTCGTTTGTCAGAATGAATTTTCAGAAGAAGATTCTTTGCTAGATTACACGAAGTAATCAGAAGTATCTGTCCGTCGGAGAAATTTGTAATGAAATCCAGACATTGTTGAGGTTTGCTAAACTCTTTGAAATTCTCGAATAACTGTCGTATTTCATCTTGAGTGTCACGATATTCTTCCGAACGTAGTAATTGATTATCTAACCAAACACAGGTGAAGTCTTTTCCCGTCATTTATCTAAAATAAACATAAGCATACAAAACAAAATAGAAGTTCTTTTCGAAACAAAAACGTAGAAATTTTTTATTTATTTATAAGAAATCATAGGCAAAACTATGTAACCAACTCATGCTCTTTGTTGTATAGCATCAATAATCTTTTGCGCTTTCACAACTTCTGGATGATTGATCGGTAAAGTTTTACGTAGTTGATGAACTGCTTGTTGAGCAGCGACCAAAGCATCATCGTATTGTCTTAAACTATAATATGTAACAGCTAGACTGGTATAAGTGTGTGCGATATCTTGTGCATCATCAGATGAATGTTTCGATTCAATATCCAATGTTCTTTGATAGAATATAAGAGCGTCGGTATATCTATTCAAAGAAAAGTAAGCATTGCCGATTCGATAATAGATCCCTATTAATGATGGATCATCCTCAGCTGAATAGAGACGATGCAGATGTAAAGCTTGATCGTAATAATTTAAGGCTTGCTCATATTTATTTTGTTCAGCATATACGTATCCGATATGATCGATGTACGATGCTAATGTTACCTGATTGGCATCGAGTGATTTCTTTAATTGCTCGACAGATTTCATTGCGTATTTTTCAGCATCTGACCATTGTTCTAAGCCTAGGTAAGCTTTCGATATATTGTGGTAACTACTGGCGATCGAAGGGTGATCTGTCGATAGAGAACTTTGTTCAATTTCAAGTGTTTTCAGGTAATGTTGAAGAGATTCTTGATATCGATTTTGCTTATAGTACGTATCAGCAATTCGACTATTTGTCTTCGATAACGAGGGGTGATTAGGTAAAAGAAATTGATGTTGAAGATCCAATGCTTGTTTAAAATAATTCAATGCTAGTTCATAGTTTTGTTCTGAAAGAGCTGAATCACCGGCTTGTATCAAAGAACTTGCGGAAGTATTTGGATCTAGATCGACATTGGTGCCTTCTGATCGAAACTGACCACCTCTCATCATATACGACACTGGAATAGAATCGAAAACGATAGCTAGTAGAAAGTAAAAGCTAAAACTACTCACATGCTCCCATCAAATCACCATTTGCAAAGCAAACCTGAGTTATCGAGCTACACGTTTCTGCTATCGATGGATCGTTTTCGTTTAGAAATTGTTGCTGTAATTCTAAGATACGTTTGTAATAATCTAAAGCTTCGACATTTCTTCCAATGGTTCTATAAGTTTGAGCGAGATTTTTTGTATAGTGAATAATTAATGATAAATCTGGCTCCCTGGAACTTGTCTGGCAATCTAGAGCCAATTGAAAGAAAGTCAATGCTTTATCATAATCGGATTGGTGTGAATGAACCGCACCGATACAACTATATGTCGGTGATAATCGTCGATGGTCAGCTGGTAGGAAAGTCAAATAAACATTCAATGACTTATCAAAATGTTCGAAAGCTTCTTTATACTGCCCTCGATTCAAATAAATTATTCCGAACATATGATGAACCGAGCCGAGTAGATCCTGATTCGCAGCAATTCCAACATCATCAGCAAGCATCTGAGCAAACCGGTCAACACTTCCATACTGTCCCATTTCATTCATTAATTTCAGTAGAGACAAAAATGAATGTGATGAACGTGTTTCGTCTCGTGTTACCAGCGCATAACTTGCTAAACGTTCGTCAACTTCGTCACTGAGTCTTAGCCGAACGCGATAGAAATGATTTTGTTTTTCGATTTTGAGTATACGAAAAACGGTTCCAATCGAGAAAAGCAGTTCTTGTTCCATTTCTGAATATCCTAAATAACTCAATCCTTTCGTGTTCACAAATGGATACTTTTGTATGCTTGGATCGATTTCCATCTCGAACAGAACACCTGTTGGACATCCGAATAGAAACATTTCCGCGATTTTTCGATCGAAGGATGTGGAGAGAAAATTATTAAACGAAAGAAAACCATCGACATTTTTCTTCAACTTCTCGATTTCACTCGTCGACATCGATTGACCCCGATAGACAAGCATTTTCGCTGTGTCATCACGTTGTGCTCGCGCGTGAAGAGAAATTTGTCGATGAAGATGTCGAAGAAAGTATCGTAATCGATAAAGAACATCAGGTTCAGGTGTCCATAGAGCTTTGTTGAGCATTTTGAAAAGAAAACACTCTTTTGTATACCAAAGAATTGCAAGTTGAGGAATAAACGTCCTTTCGAATTCATTCAAAATCTTCAAAGAACTTTCACTATCTGCACACGCTTTTCGACAGTAGGCAATCATGTTTAGTCGGGTTTCTGCTTCCGATTCGGCGAATATATCATTGAGAAGAACTTCTTTGAGCAGTTGGAAGTACATAAAGGATGGATCTTGCCGATTGATATCATCTGAACATGAAAGGAATGAAATACCAGTGGAATTCTCTTCCTTGTGATTTGCTTGTGGTTTGAATTCGTCGCAGAGTAATCGAAAATCATTGAAAATGCCTTTAATCTTTCGAAAATTGTTTGTCCAATCATCAGCAATATACTTTTTCGAATAGAAAATATAAATCGACACAATCTGTTCGCATGAATGTATTAATGGAACGATGAGTCTTCCTAACACATTTGAAGTAATCAATACTATTCTGATATCTGGATAACTTGTGAAATAATCTACACATTCATCAGAGTTGCGGAAAGATTCAAACGAATCGAAAACGGATCGAAGTTCCTCTTGAGCATCGAGATATTCAACGGATAGAAGTCGTTGATTATCGAGCCAGATACATGATAATTGTTCCTCAGTCTTCTCTGACGACATCGGCCTATTGAACTAATTGTAATTCACATGAAAAAGTCGATGTTGGAGAAAACCCACATGAAATAGTAACTATCGCTTTTTTTTTTCTTTTTCTTTTCTTCCGAAGCACAAGAAGCTCTCTGTTGACTTTGACTACGCCATGTGAGTATTAACCTGAGAGAACAAAAAAAAAATCTTGAAGGAAGAAAAGAACAGCAAAATTATATTATTCTTCGTAAGGTATCACGTATTTTGTTTTGAGTTTTTCCATACTTTGTGACAACTGCATTTAGTCTATTTTAATCAACATAGATTTTTCTAATGATTATTTGTACTTATTTTTATTTAAAATAAAGAAAGAAAAGAAGAAGAGAAATTGATTGTTCAATACCAAATCAAATATCCCGAAGTGAATCCATCACGATAGTTTGCTTGTCCAATGGGTAATTTACATCGACAAAGCGGACATGAAGCGTTTCGATCAAGCCATGATGTCACACATTCTTCACAAAAGACATGCTGCAAAAAAGAAAAGACTTCTTATTAACGAAAAGTTCTCATTCGAAAGCCAAACGAACTTTGCATGTTAATACAATCGGATCTTGATATTCGGATTGACAAATAGGACACATAGTTTCTTGTAGGTCGTTGATGGATACCGATGGGAATGGAAGTGTTTGAAATGCTTGTTTTAATGATTGCTGCAATTGAAGAAGAGTTTTGTAAATATTGAATAGTTTCATCAGGGAATAGAATATCAACAGAATCGTTGAAAAAATGTATTTTTCTTGATTATTGTCTAAGAGAAAGTGTATCCAAGGACGAATGGTTAATAAACCTATGTAAAATTGAGATAAATGTTCAATTAAAGAAAAATAGGATCCACGTTTGCGATATGTTAAACAAGATTTTCCTCTATCACTTGTTATTGGATAAACGATCAGTAAACTTTTGCAAATCATCACAATCATCCTACAAAATGAAACAAACGCTGTTTATTTCGATATTTGTCTTTGTTTTTTTTTTCAAACATACTTAACAATACAAAACGTTGAGTAAAGTACCCAAATCAGAGTCCATAGATCCCATTTTGTATAATTGGGACGTGAAAATACGAGACATAAATAAAATTGCTCTTGCCGATATAGATACAGGAACAGAACTAAAGAAAGACTTAGAATAATTATCACTCGAAGGACAGGCCAGACATGACGAGACGACTGAAAGAAGTTCAAATATTTAGAAATATGTATTCTCTTGCTTAAATCTTTACTTTCAAAGCTGCTTGTTGAACTAAAACTGTATTTGCATGATAAATACTTGCAGAGAAGAATACAACCATCAGTATGCCGGCTGAATGTTCGTAGAAAGCTTTGAGGATAAGAATAAGTGCAAAAGGAAATGTCGATGTTAAATTATCTTTGAGAAGTGTAATTAATTGATGAAGATGATCATTAGCAATGTCATTCGTTGGTGGCGGTGGTGACGGGCGAGTCGGTGCTTGAGTTTGATGAAGAATTTCTTCACCGACGGTCTCGATTTCTTCGAGATTATTTGCAGGATTTAAGTCAATACGATAATCAGAATTATTAGTCGCCATAGAATAATTTAGTCGACGAGTATTCATTCTCGTCTTCTACTTCATTTTTCAAGCAAAACGAAAAATCTGAAAAAAAAACACAAAAGACTTCAGTTTTTATTTTTCATTTGTTAATCTTTCAATAAAAATTTTTCCTTGAGATACTTCGTTCCAATCAAGATCGGTACGAGAAGGAAAAGTGGTCTTTAGTTGTCCTTTGTCATCAACAACACGTGTTTGTTGTAAAGTCAAAACTTGTCGAAATGTTTTCTCTTCTTCATTCGCTTTTTTTCCTAATTGATTTTCGAGCACCTGTCGAAGAAATGCATCCATGACACGACGGCAGATATCCATTGAATGACCAGATGTAATTTCAACGAAGATCGAATCACTTGTTGGACTTAATTTACTTCGTTCAGCATTTGTTAATGGTGGAAGCGAAATCACGTAACGATCTTGATCGGACAAACACGGAAATTCATTTTGATCTTCCAATAATGTCAAATATCTTTCAAAAAGAGAGTAACCTATTTGAAATAAATAGAAAATGATATTCACATACTTGTGAAGACCTGATAATTGATTTCGCTTCTTGAGTTTTCTTTCGTGTTCTGCATCGCGACACAATTGATCGTAAAAATCACGTGCAGAGACCAGTTTCGGGCCTTTACCAAGTGGTACCAGACCAATATCATCCGGATTGCGAGCATCATAAACCAAATCTCCAGAGATTAATGATAAATCATGTGTACCTATTGTTGCCAAGGTACGTTTTTGGCAAATATCATCATGAAGTTCATTCTTAAACAAAAACGATATCTAAAGAAAAGATTTGTCTTTCCTTCTGAAACTTACTTGTAAATTGAGAAACTTCTTCAAATTTCCTGGTGTTGCTAAGTCAACGTTTCTCAAAATGCAACACAATATATGCGGTCGAACACTGATTACTCTTGGCAGTAATGTAACTAAACGAAATCAATTGGAAATAGTCAATTATGTAGAAGAAAAATAAACAAACTTTGTCTTCCTTTCAGATCTCCAACTTGATCAAAATGCAAAATTTCGATTTTATCTTGAATTTCAACATTTTGCTTTGCTTTTTGTTGTTGTTGTTTTGATTGTGCTGGTTTTGCGGTTGTCGATGCTGATGATTTATGTTGTTCGGTCCATTGCTTTGCTAAATATTCCAAAACCGGTTTGATTTTATCTTGTTCCATGAGTTTCTTCAATCGATTGTCTTTCAAAGGATTGGATTTAAATCGAAGCTCTACGAAAAGATGCTGTTGAAAGAGAATGAACAGCAATAGAAAATACCTTTCAGTTTGTGTAATTGACTAAGTTGACATGGAATTTCTGTCAATTGATTCGATTCGATAAGAAGAATTTTTAATGAATGAATTTGACAGAGTGTCTCAGGGAAATCTTTGAATCGATTACCAGATAAATCCATCGATGAAAGGTTTTCTAATTCAACGGGAACGTCAGGAAGACTTTCGAGTTGATTATGAGATAAGTTGACGACGGCTAATTTTTGATTTTGAGGAGAAAATTGTGGAAGTTGTTCCAGAAGATTTTGACTTAAATTCAATGTTTCTAAATGATCGAGCTTTTCGAATAAATCATCATTTAACCGTTGAATTTGATTATTCGATAGATTCAAATGCCGAAGATCGGTTAGGAATTTAACTTCGATGGGAATTTCTTTCAATTTATTCGAGGTTAACGTTAGTGTTGATAGATGAGTTAACTTTCCGATATCTCCAGAGAGATATTCGATTGATGGACATTGACTGATCTCAAGAAAATTCAATTGTTTTAATGTCCAAATCGTCTCATCTAACGCTTGTTTTTCTTCATAATATTTTCGTAATTTATCACCTGATAAAACCAATTCGTATCGATGATTTGATGCAACTTGATCAACTTCAGGCCAAACCATTCTTCCTTTTTTCTTCTCTTTATCAGTTTATGTCGGAAAACAATGTGGTCGTAGCAGAGAATAAATAAAAAAAATCTTATGCAAGACGATGACTCATCACGAGAGATTTCTTCCTCTCAAACGACTTTTTTATTTTAATAAAATTATAGAAAAAAATCTTTTTCTTTTGTGTTTTTCTGTAACAAAAAATGCAAAAGTGTCATAAAATTACCATATAGATGTCGCTAGTGGGTCAGTCTCACTGTTTGTGGATGAAGATGATGTCTGTGAGGAGAGACATCAGAAAGAATCAAATTCATGTGCATGTTTCTGATCGATTTATTCAACGATCTAATCAATTCTTACTCATAAAATCAGAGAAAAAAAATGATAGAACGTTATGCGAATGCCGAAGTCAGTTGTTGTAGCTTGAGTCAGTCATGAAATCACATTTTATTCTTTTGCAATAGTCGTTCCATCCTCGACCTTCTGTAATAAAAAATTGTTTCTTTTCTTTACTTACTGACAATTCATCGCTTTGAAATCATAAAACACGTGATGAAACTTCTTGGTCGTCTTCGATATGATATCTATCGTATGAATAAAAGTCGAATATGCGAAACAGAAAACAAAGAACAATGACTATCTATGTATCTGTGACTGTGTTCATTCGCGTCAAAGAAATGCTATCGTTGATCACTTTGCTTTCGTTGCCTAACGAATTATTTCTCTCTAATATCTTCATTCATGTCGACGATTAAAAAATTTCGTTTCTTCGACGTTGTATACAAGGATGTTCATCGATTCAGTTCGAACGGAAGTGAGCTATCCATAGCTTCTGTTGAATCTATCTTTTCTTGAGGGTGACAAATGGTTTTACTGCCGATGTTGCTAGTTTCAATTTCGCTAAATTGAAAAAACTTCATGTATATGCGAATCATCTGATCGACCAGACAATTTTTCCGAATATTTTCCTTTAATCCACAAAAATCTTCTGTAAAATATTCGAAATTACATGTATACAATGTAATTCTATCAAACAATGACATCTTTAGAAAATAATATCGATTCACTCGGAACGATAACTCCAATCATAGAGGATGACTTTCTTTCTATTCTGTTCCACACACATTGTTTTTTTTTTTATATAGACACTCTAAAACTCTTAGCAAAGTGAATGTGTAAGAAATTAATTATTATCTGAGAGATAGTCGGAAAACACGGATATGGCGATCTTCTCATCGACAAGTTCTTGAAAGATTTCCATTGTGGTATGATCTTTTTCTATGGAAATTTTTGTCAATAGTTACAAGTCAACGTCATTGATTTATGAGACATGCATCTCATCTGTTCTTGTAATGCTAATTTCCAAATATTATTTGATCTACAGCACACGAAAATATATAAATAAAGTGATGAAAGATTAATTTTCATATTATATGTCATATATATAATGAATTATGGGTTCGGCTTGAAGAAGTTCGGTTCACATTAACAACTTTACAATCCGTCTTGTTGCTAATCGGATAAGACAGTGTGCTTTGACTTTATCTATGCCACTAATTTAATAATAGTTCTTATCTATAACATGCATTAGTTTTGTAGAGGAGATGACAGAGAACAAGTAACACTCGTCAAGTACTTTATTAGCATCTTTTTCTTACCAAATATGTTTAAAAACACCAGAAAAGTACTTGAACGCTTTTGCGAATCAATGCTAGATTTGTGTGTTCGAGATCAGTCAATGAAGTGCAATCACACACGCAAGTAGGGGGTTTCGATGTTTTAGACACTTCAGTAAGAATTTTTTTACTTGAATTAATTACATATAATTGAGTGTCCCACAATGAACGCCTACTGAGAAGAGTATACAATGGAAAACAAAAGAGAAAGGAACTGAATTGACCTGATAAAACTTTCTCTAATTCCAAAATCTTGTTTGGTTATTTTGTTCTATCGTTTGCTCAAACTCAACGAAAAAAGAAAAAATGACCTCGCTGACACTTACAGTGACTGTCAAAATTGTGCGACCACTTCCGAAAAGATTCTTATTTTATTTATATCTTCAAAACTACATGAGCTAAGACCGCCGAACTTCTTTCATAATTTAGCATTGATCATCTAATATATTGATAACAATTTTCAAACCAATTCGTCGAACTGTTCAGTTTTTATGATTTATACGATTACATAGTACCATTTTTGCTGAGCTCAAAATTGTGCGACCACTTGTCTCAGTAGAAGTTCTAGATACTTATTATATTTCGAATGCTTCTTTATGATATATGGTTTGTGAGAACAAAGTGTTTTCTTAATAATTTATCCCATTTCATCTCATTGAGATATATCTTAATGAGATGAAATGGGATAAATTATTAAGAAAACACTTTGTTCTCACAAACCATATATCATAAAGAAGCATTCGAAATATAATAAGTATCTAGAACTTCTACTAAAACAAGCGGTCGCACAATTTTGACAGCCACTGTATATACCTCTTAATTTATGTAATCATCTTAACTAAGATGATTCCAGACGAGCCAATTTTTTTTATTAATATCTTCATCAAAATAAATAATTACAGAGTTAAAACCCGGAAGAGAAATCATAAGCGACTGTTGAAATGGTGTCCTTTTATTTCAATGTAGTTATACTTCTAAATTGATTTCATGCTTTGTGAAATATTATCCAATAGTCATCGAGATACTCTTTGTAAATCATTTTCTTAGTCAATGAATTGATGACATATGTGAATATATATATGCATCTCTTGTTCTTTCATCACTAAGTTTGTTCCTCATTATGGAAACACATGGACTGTATCTGCAAAGTATGCGAGATATTTCGAAAATTGATGTTAGAAAAGAAATGCGCGCTGTTCACTATCGATTACAGGAGGAAATCACTTTCAGGATGTGTAGTTAGACTTCCTGCAGATAACAAGGAAGTAAAGAGCGGTCAATACCTTAGGCATCATCTTAGCGTTATAAGTACGGCAATTGCTCTTGATGAAAAAGAGAAAGAAAGAATCTTTTTCTTCTTCTTACAGAGAAAAGAAAATCTTTATTATCATTCCAACTAGTGTTTTCTCTGAGATGACAAGTGTCAAAAATAACAAGTTGGAATAATAACATTTCTCAAAATATCATCAAAAGATACCAACTAGACAGAATAAGGCGAAGCTATTGATTCCCAACGGAGCAAAGAATTTAATTATAAAATACTTCGGCGAAAAAAAGGTAAGAAAGTATCTTGTGTGAAGTTAATGAATAAAGTTTAGTTTTATTTTTTTTTTGAATGACGATTAAAATAATTGGTCCGTTGACATGATAAATTTCACTGAAGGAGAAATAATTCGAAAAGAACTTGTTATTAAATATAAGATTAATATTCCACTTGATAGTTGTTTCCGTTTGGTTAGAACGAGATATTTTCTATATCATATATTGCTTTTCTCCTCTCATAACGTTTGTTTACAGTTCGCTATGGATCTGTATTATGATAGTAAGAATATCTTATATAGCTTAATAATTAAGAATTTGTCTTTGTTTGCTTCATATAGAGAATGAGATGATCATGTATCCGCCTCCATTTGCAATTTTCAATGATACGATGACAGATGAAACCGAATCTTCATCAATCATTCTTTCTTCATTGCTTGGAGTTGTTCTAAGCTTAATTGCTTTTACAACAGCGATGGGCAATATTATCGTACTTTTGGCATTTTATTGTGACAAAAAGTTACGTACAATCAATGGTAAGTCACCTCGGAATTGACTTTCTCGATATTTGCTCTTGTTTCTTTACAAAAAAAAGATTATTTCATATTGAATATGGCTATTGCGGATTTTCTTGTTGGATTTTTTTGCATTCCCTTTTATATTCCATTCAGGTAAGTTTTTTAAGGCGCTTTTTGCTTTTCCTTATACCAGTGCCAGACAAATCCGATCAGCGAAAATGTATTTCATATCTTATGCATAAATTTCGTAGTTTAACGCAAATATGGCCATTCGGAAGACTTTTCTGCAAAATTTGGGTAAGACAAACACGTTAATCATGTTCGTTAACATTGATCTCTTTAGGTTACTGTTGATGATGTTGCAACAATGGCCAGTGTGATCAATATCGTCGCAATCACTGTTAATCGTTATTGGTCAATTGCATATCCAATTGTCTATCGGAGATATATGAAACAACATTTCGTTTCTATCGTTATGGGCGGAATTTGGTGTCTTTCATTTTGTAGGACAATACTTTTCAAGAAGAAGAAGAAAAATAAACCGATCTTCTTTGTTTTTTGTAGTAAATTTTGCACCAGGAATCTGGTTGATAAATTTTTCTTCAACGGAAACGAATGTTACTCGAACCGATTGTTCCGGTGATTATAATAATTCATTTATTTACATGCTAATAGCACAATTTAACTATTTTATCTGGCCATTTATTGTCTTATGTGTTTTAAATATGTTAATTATGCTAAATATTTGGAAACGAAGTCGTAAAATGAGTCGTCTCATAAATTTACATCATTTTCAAAAGTCTAAAATCGAAAATCCGATGTCATCTCTACATGGAACAGAGAAAGATGGTGAAGATGAACAACGTACACTGTCTGAAACGAAAGTTCAATTGAATCCACTAGAACGTCGTGTAACACTCATCGTTGAACGAAACGAAAACTTAATCCAGATCTCATCATCCAATCAAAATCTCAACGCTCTTTGTCAACCTCAGCTACCCATCGTTCAACATCGATCTTCCAAGTAAAGTCAACTCTTTCATCAATTAATTCTTCAAGATCATTCTCTTGTCTTTAGTTCATCATTGACAGTACGTTCTTTGCGAAAATCTGCCAGTACTAATCGTTCAAGTTCACGTCGTTATCAAAGTGAAACGGTACACGACTGTGACCCTGATGTCTCACGAGCAAATTTCGACGACAGAGGATCATCATTTCGTTATCGACCAAAATATCGTGAATATTGTCAAAAGCGTTCGCGGATTATCCGCGATCGGAAAGCGGCTCGCTCTTTATTTATTCTTGTTATTGTTTTTCTTATCTTCTTATTTCCATATGTGATTTGTGCAACAGCATCCACAGCTGGTTTGGAGATTTCTTCGATTATCTACGAGATTTCCTTTTGGCTCTTGTGGATGAATTCGACGTGTAATCCAGTTCTTTATCCATTCATTCAAACGAAATATCGAAAAGCCTATTTGAAATTATTTCGATCGTGCAGAAAGTCTTTGCCGTTCTCATCTGTTTGATTGTTTAGTTTTTTGTTAACAAAGCGCGTCTTTCTTAAACAAAGATTGATTTTCTTGATTTGTGTTTATGATTTGTCATTTTATCCAATGAGAGAAACAATTTCCGTAACATCATCAACACAAAATAAATTGAGAAAGCGATTAAAAAAGTCGACAAATCTGTCCAATCATGAATTTACGATCGAACAAATACAGAAAACGATTCCACTTTTAGCACAAGCATTTGCTCATGGTTTTTTTATTGAAGTTAACTGTCGAACTTTATCAGAAAATCTTCTCGATCAATTGGCATATCAAGTATATGAATTCGTGCAGAAGCAGGAAGAACATCTCAACCGTTCGTTGATCTTTCATTCCTTTGACGATTATTCACTGTTGAAAGAATTCGTTCGAAAAATCTTTATCGGCGATTTCGAAGAAAATCAAACGAAAAAACGTAAAGAAATTCATTCGATGAACATTTTTTTATATAAAACCAAAGATGATCATCCATCGATTCAAGAAATTCTCGTTGAAAACGAAAAGCAACAATTTGCTTCGCGTTGGTCGTTGCCACATGAACAATTCGAGTCACTATGGGAAACATTAGAATATGATTTACCACTCAAATCACAATTAATGCAATACGTTTTCACCGTGATTCGTTTCGATAAAGCAAATATTGATCGCACTGTTCTACATTGTAATCAAACTATTCTTCTTTATGGACCACCGGGTTTGTCTTTCGTTTTGCATTTCGTGTAATATGGAGCTTAGGACGTTCATGAAGACTTTCTGATAGATTTTCTTCCAGACTTCATTGTCAATGTTAATTATATCCTCCAGCTATGATCCCGATGGTTAAATTAGCTACGCCCTAAATATCCTTTCTCGAACTTCCGGATACAGATTGCCGTTAATCAATCAAAATGTCGATTTCAATGTATTTTAGGATGTGGAAAAACAACATTATGTAAAGGTTTAGCTCAGAAAGTGTCGATTCGAATGAAAGAATTGTTCTCCAGATTCTATTTTTACGAATTAAATGCGGGTTCATTATTTTCCAAGTGGTTTTCGGAATCATCACATAATTTAACTCGATTTTTTCACGATATTACACAGATTTGTCTTGATCCAATGACATTTGTTATTATTCTTATTGATGAAATTGAATCATTATCTATGTCACGAACATCATCATTATCATCAAATGAACCATCGGATATGTTACGTGTAGTTAATACACTTCTCACACAGATTGATCGTTTGAAATCGTTTTCGAATATTCTCATTTTGACAACGTCGAATCTTATTGAAATCATCGATCAAGCGTTAATCGATCGATCCGATTTAACTTTGTTTATTGGACCACCATCATTGAAAACGATTTTTCATATCTTTCAAGCTTGTTTAGATGAGTTAATTGAAAAAAATCTCATTCATTCATCAGCGAGTCGACCCGAAGAAATCAAAGATCAACTATGGAGTTTAGCTAAAGAAAGTGATGGTCTAAGTGGAAGAACGTTGAGAAAATTACCGATGATTGCTTTTTCATACATACAACAGTCGGACGATTTTATTCAATGTGATGAACTTTTCAATGCTATGCACGAACAATTGAAACACAAAAGAAATACAAATGATTATTTACAGCAATTGACTAATTCCTAATAGCAATTTTCTTTCCTATCAATAAACAATATCGCATAGAGATCTTCATAGTCGCATCATATTTCAATTAGTATCGATAAGAGAAGTTTTGTCAACCTTTAAGTATAACTTTAAAATCATTAGAGCAATAACTGTATGAACTAATCAAAGTATATTATGACATTGTGTTTGTCGACCTGCTCGTAGATTGAATGAATAGCGGTGTTCGATGATGCTCAGTAAATCAAAGTGCATTTCATTCTTTGAAATCTCTTTCATAGTATTTTGTGTAAACGATGTTGTATCAACTGTAGCGCGTAATTTCTTTCGCTCTATATGTATCGTGTACGTATTAACAGACGAACAATAGTATTGCTCAATACCCGAATGAATACTTTTTCTTTTTCTTACGTAGTAATGTGTCCATAAGTTCATTATTAACGCAAAACATGTATCTTTATACACGTGTTTCTATATGACAGAGATTCTATTTCTAATTTGAAAAGTTATATAATAAAGACACAGGTTCACAGAGCAATGCGAGCATGTTGAAGTAAAGCGTAATAATGAAAAGTTCATTAAATAGATCCCTTTCGTGAGCAATTGCATTCAGGAGTATCGTCATCATTTCGCTAGATGAGACTATCGTTGGAAATTGCGAATAAAGAAGAAAGTTCGTCCAAATACCGCACATTTTTTTACTACCTTAGTGGTCACACACAATGTTGATGTTTTCTTTTTTTCTCAGGCAAAATAAAGATTCCAATAGTATTCAGTGTTGTAGTCTTGTATCAAAGAATTCCGCTCAATTCTCTATTTGACAATTGACGATTTGTACCGATTTTTTTTCTATGTTCGCAATTTCAAATGTTTATCTTATCCATCGAAATGATAACTATATCCTTAGTTCCAGCTTTTCATGGGCTCTTATCTGATATAGAATTTGAATAGTTGAAAACTCGACTTGGACCTCCAACTTTAACACTATACGGTAGAACTGTAAATTATTCAAATTCGATGTAATAATATTCGCAGAGAATATATCTTAATAATAATAATAATAGAACATTCTATTCAGTTATACATTCATCTGTTATGACTCTGCAGTCTAGAAAGTTCGGAAACAGTAGAAATACTGACCTTTGTAGTATCGGAGTATTATATTTGAAAAATGGTTTGCACAATTCATTTTCAAAGGGTTAAAATAGAAGCAATCGTAAGAAAGCTAAAATTGTGACAGAAAAACAGAATAGCGTTCCTGTTATACGAAAGGCAGATGCAGGAACGACAGGAGTTATAGCATCATTATCGAAACATTGAAAAAGTGCCATGTGAATATTTGTCCCTGTCTCACCAATTTCTTGCGCTAGATGGGTTGGTCCAAGAATATCAGCATTCGTGAGAAGAATCGTACCAATACTGTGCTTTTCATTGACTAATACTAAATGCGACATGCCTGGAAGAAAACCAGTATGACCAATGTATCGACGACCATCACTCATAGTATTCCAATACCAACTAAGACCATATTGTGGTGGTGGTGGTGCTCCTCCTCCTGTAGAATCACGCGTCGAATCTGGACTGTAAGGTGGTATAAGCCCACCGCCAACTACTGTTCGCATTTCAGCAATAGATCGAGGAAGAAGAATAGAAGAGCCATTGTTGATGAACATGCGAAGATATGTGGATAGGGTCTTAGCTGACATTCGTAAGAGACCTGAAGGATAGAAATTGAAGCTGAAGTCTGGAATATGTAGCCACGTAGGAAAATTGCTCTGCAAAGACAATATTCAAAATGAATATAATTAATTAAATTGATATTTTTACTGAAATCGGTGTGATATTCAACTGTGGTATAAAGTGTTTCCATCCTTCGAGATAAGATGCATTGAATGCATAATTATAATGTTTGACAAAATTTTCTGTCGTTGCAAAATCGGATAGACGTACACCCGTTTTACTAATATCTACACCCAATGGTTTCAAAATGTTTTCCTTAACATATTCACTATAGGGCATTTTCGATACTCGTTCGACAACTAGTGCAGCTAGAGCGGAACCTTCATTTGAATATAATGTAACACTGCCTGGTGGCTTTGGTAACCAGTTTGATGTGTTTGGATTCACATACTGGTAAACCACATCAGCTAAAGTTTTTTGTTCATAAGCAGTATCATCAGGTTGATAATACGTATTTTGCACTGCATAGCTGATAAAGATTGAAGCTGAGTGTGAAAGTAATTTCCGTAGAGTAATTGAATGAGATGGATATTTCGGATGAAAGATTCGTTTTCCAGGTTCAGATAAGTATTGATTAACATCTGTGTCAAGATCGATAAGTTCCTTCTCGACAAGTTGCATGACAGCAGCGGCAATGAATGTTTTCGAAACAGAAGCAAGAGGAAAAATTGACGTGTTAATGTTCATTGGTATTGGTGGTACTAACGACTGGAAACCAAACGCTTCTTCATAAAGTGTGTGAGTAGCATTGACTACGATGACTACGGCGCCTGGAACTTGAACCTTTTTGAGAGACTCTACTATCCATTGACGATCTGGACAATTCGAACCAGAAATATTAATCATGTTGAGCGTAGTTATACATATTATCAATGATAATATCTTCAGCATTTATTTCTTTTACACGAATGATGATTTTTATTGTTGAAAGAATTTCTTGCAATTAAATGCAACCAAATTTTGCGTATAAAAAGCTTTAAATAGAAGAGAGAGAAAGAAAAGCCTTTTTTTTTCACTGTATTAAATAGGTCAATCTTCATATTAAGACTCACCTAACGTCAATATTGAAAGATAAAACAAAGTAAAAATATAACGACAGTCTTCTTAAAACGTATGGCGTCAGAGATAGAAGGTAAAAATGTGAGTAAGAAAATATGACAAAGCAATCGCAAAACAGCGATGATAAGTAAGAAGTACTCAGAAATGAGTAACAGGCTCAAATTTCGTTTTCTTTTGCTGGTATCCAAAGATATCGAGATGAAAAGTTGTTGTTGATTATCGAATTTCTTTACTTAAATACTTGTTTATTGCAGAAATAATCAAGTGACAAACGTACATAGCTATGTGTTTTGACAAGAGACGCTCACTAAGGGAAATAAAAGGCGGTCGGCTTAAACTAATATTATCGATAAATAGGCAATTATTCCACCGACTTTTCGATGTCAATTATAGTACAAACAAATGAGAAATTTTATTTAGCTTAAGTAAGAACACGGACACGTGAATTGATATATTCACAATGACTTTGCCTATAATAGTGTGTCAGCTGCCATTTGATATATGTCATGAAAAAGATTAATATTCATGTCTGTCGTAAATCTCTTCTCAACAGCAGACCGCATGTAATATTTTTTGTAACATGAAAATTAAGAATATTATTAGATGTTTTAGAGTTCCTATCACTGCTCATTTTATTTTATATTTATCTATATAATCCATCAATTGAATCATTTCTCGTTTATGTCTCAATCGACTTGACGCATCAACAATATACAATGGAAATCAACTTCTTTTCGTATTGCGGATTTCGTGGTCAATCAATAGCATTGAAATTAGCCATTCAAGAAACAAATCATTTTGAAAATCATGATAATGAGCGTATAGTTTCACTATTCATACGATGCCATACAATAATAAAAAGTTTATATCGTGTTCGTTGTATAGAAATACGCAGATGTATGTACAACCTGATTGTTTTTGGTCAAAACACATCGAGAACATTCTTTTCAATAGGTTTTCTCAAGCTGCGATCAATCCATTGAGATTATTTTCATGTTTTTAAAAATTATCTATCAGGTTAGACACCTTTATGCGAATACTACAAATGGCATACATAATATCCGCTCACTGAAAATAGTTGATACGACGTTAATCAGTTACTTCATATGATATTATATAACAGAAGTCATTAAACACGTCTTATAAATAATCAAGTGAGTGTTGATTTACGAATATGAAGTTAGTTTTAACAAGATGATTTTTTCAATTCGATGTAACCATTAAATATCCTGGGTCATAGAACGACATTGTTCATTGATGAACACAATTGCATACGTTTGTACAATCAATTACTTTAATCGGCAAATGTCGCGTTTCATATTTTGTACTCACATGTCAGTCATTAGGCATTGCTGATGGTAAACATAGATCGACTATAATGATTGTCAAACTACTCCGTTTTATTGTTAATCGTTTCCACGAACTATGACATCACTTCATTATTAAACATGAATTTAATTCATCTTATTCGAAAACAATTACACGAACTCCAAATATTTAAGCTGTTTTATTGTATAATATATTTTTAATAAATCTAGTTATATATATAACCTACATGTCAACTGTAAGATAGATCTGAATAAGATGCGGATAGGCAAATCTCTTCGGTAAAAATTCATCGCAACATTGAAGGAAAAGCAATTTCAGTCGTATGTTTCCTTGCTCTTTTCATCTTAGAAGACAGAAAAAATGGTTTTTTTCTCTTTTCTTTCTCCACGTTAATAAATCGTCGGTTAAAAGAAGTCTAACACTCGACAAAAAGCTGAAGTATCGTGTTGGCACACGCACGTGCTGTATGAGCTTTGAAATCATTCTCTTTCGTCTTGGCAAAACAATGAACCACATCTCCTATGATTTTCATGAAAAAAAATCTAATCTATGTTCGGAAAATCATCCTGCCGACAATTTCGTTTGGAATAATTTTATTTGCTTATCATCATTTTTACAAATCATCGTATAACCACTTGGATTTGACCACGTTCAACAAGCTCATACCGTCAAATGCGTCCCGTGATCAACAAAATGGAACTTATCTATGGTCATTACGTCTTGCTGATGAGAATTATTTCCGTATAGCAAGTTTATTAGCATGTCGAACTGTTGAATATGCTCGAGGATCGCAGAAATATCAAATGAGTACATGCAGCAACTTCTCTACAAATGAATTCACCATAGCAAATACATTACAAGCACAGAAATGGTTATTCGAGCATCAGCATCCGAGAAATTGTTCGAATAAACGATTCGCTATTATTCGTAAATTCGCATGGTCAGGTTTTGGATCAACAATTCATCAAATTGTATGGGCATTTGGTAAAGCACTGACCGACGATCGAATCGGTGTGTATGAAACACCGGGTGATTGGGTAAGTGGATTGGTTTCTTTTTTGTCGTTTGATCCATTTGTTTGTCTTGTAGATCTATGGAAATTGTAAATCCATCAATCCAGATTGTTTTTTCTTGCCAATAACAAACTGTTCAGTTCCGACTGTCGTTGATGGCACTCGAACGATCTATATCAATGCTAATATTGGTCAGTGGAAAGATCCTGTTCATCCGCCTGTCTTTCGAAATCGAACTTTCAACTGGTATCGTGCGCAATTGATCTTTTATCTCATGCGTTATAAACCTGAAACATGGACTGAAGTGCAAAAGATTATCAGTGCATCATGGAAAACGTCATCGATCGATTCTTTTCGTCCATTTATTGCTGTCTATGTTCGTCGGTCGGATAAGATTACGGGAAGAGAAATGGATCGAGCCTTTTCATTGAAAGAATATTTTGATCTATTTGATGCAGACGCTCGTCGTGCCAATGTTTCTAATATCTATGTAAATTCTGAAGATCCAAAAGCATTCGATGAATTTCTTCAACTAAACCGACAAAAACAAGGTTATTACAAGTTATTCAGTATCAAAACAAGAAAAAACATTGTCTTCTCTTCGTTGTTACGCATGCCCCGTAACCAACGAGGACAAATTATCTATGAATTTCTCACTGATCTATTCATTGAAGCAAATGCAGATCTTCATGCAGGAACATTAACGTCGAACTGGTGTCGACTTGTCGATGAATGGAGACTGACACTCGGAAAAGCGACAATTTATTACACACCAGAGAAGAAATATTTGTTTCGTTGACGAATTTTCTTTGGAGAATATGTCAGCGATAAATTGTATTGTCATTGAGAATTCGATCGAATTGTACGTGGGTGAATGGTATTCGAAAATGAATTAAATGAGGTCAGAGTTGAAACTTTTTCGTTGTATCTGTGTTATCTTGTTTGAATAAAATCTCGAAACAGCGCAAAAACGCATATCCCTAGTCTTAATTCTGATCATTCTTTTAGAATTCCTGCACGGATCTTCCAGGATTCTCAACCTATAATATCTTGTCAGGTTTAATTGAGAATCTTATGTGATATCCTGACAAGATCGTTATTCAAGTTCCGATTAGGATATTGATTTAATCCTTCTAGGATCCTCATTACAGGATAATCGAGGATCAAACGGAATCCTGTTCAAGAGTTTTCACGGTTCCTAGACAGATTATAATTCTGAGTTGGAACTTACGCTGAAACGAATCCGCTCAAGAAAATGTCGAATCCTGCTCGAAGGTATCCTACGTATCAAGCCAAAGATTATGAGATAACAAGTTGTCTTGTTAGTTTACCTTGTACTCAGTACTCTGTCAATGGAATAAGAACGATAACTCAAAACAGGAAGAAACACCAACAAAATATTTATTCCAAACAATCCTTTATCGCATAATTAATTCGAATATATGTAAATAAAGCGGCTCCAATGTGTTCCAAATCTAACTCGTAAACTGTAGAGTTTTATCTAATACGTCAATCTGTGAAAGTGAGAATTTATGAAGATTTGGTTTTCACTTTCAACCTCATCCACACCCTCATAATTATTGTTTTATTTCCATTTAGTAGAAGCGCTCGAAAAGAAATGTCTTCCCGAATTTCAGTCTGAAAGCAAAGAAAATATTTAAAATCTTCATCTGATTTTCTTTGAGCTAAATAAATAAATCCAAAGAATCATCGTGAAGTTTAACAAAAAATAAATAAATGCATGTGCTCGTCTTAAGTTGCTTTTGATGACAAAGAATTGATTGTAAATGAATAAAATACATCTGAATCAGTTCTTAGCCATTCCGGATGTGTTGTCATAAATTCGTTCCTTAGCAAATTCGACGAGAGTGCTTTTGCTTGTGCATAAGTTGTTATTGGTGATGATGAATTCTTTTTCAGTTCAAGATACAATTTAAATAACGAACATTTGGCAATTGGACTTGCATATTCTTGCCGATGTCGTAGCTTTTTCACTTGACCCAATGGATATCCATCGACTGTAACTATAGGAGTGGAGACATCGAGACCTTTCCACCAAGCCATCGACATAGCACACGGACGAGTTCGTTCAGACGATGGACCACAGTCAAACGAATTCTTCACTGATATCACCGGCACATCTTTGAAAACAGAAGACAAGTCTACAGTGGTTTGAATGACTAAACCAGATAATTTGACTGGTGAGATGATGAATTGATTGAGAAGAGATCCTTCGAGTCCTTGATAAATCCATCGATTGATCTTATTCGTACACGAAAGACTTGTTGTTTGAGAGCCTTTGCCTGGTTTGAGATAAAGTTGTTCTTGTTCATTCGACGAATTCAACGATTTATGTTCAAACTTTGGACGTTTGACTGGATCAGATAAGTATGCAGCTGCTCCACATGGTGGATATGAGACAAACAAATAAAGTCGAAGAGATTTATTCCATACAAATTTCTTGTCTTCTTCTTGTTTAACAAGAATAGAATAATTAGTTTCACGAATGATTTCATCGTAGAATACTCTTAACAATGATCTTCGTGCGATGACTTCGGCATGGCTATCATGCAATAAACATCCTTGTGTACCTCGTTCATTCTTCTCACCACCTAAACATTTGGTCCCTGTACCTAATGAGATGATATCGATGTGATCATTCTCATCTACAGCAGCAAATGCAGCTAAATGTGTCCATTCATTCGAAGATGGTTTTCCGCGTGATGATAACAGATTAAATTGATGATGACTAGCTGAAGCAATTCGTTCAGCTAACTCGTTTTTTTCTTCTTCTTCTTCTTCTCCGTCAATTTCCAAGACTCGTTTCATTTTCTTTTACTTTTATCATCTTTTCTGAACACAATCAGTATTTGTTAAATCCTTTCAGCGAATCCGAAGTAATGAAATAGATGTCTCAGTTAATCAATCGTTTTTATTTCAAATTCTTTAGATTTCGAGTCTCTCATAATGAAGTATAAGGCGAATTTGTCCTTGCGCGTCTGGAATATCGAACCAATCGTCAATATGACCTACAAAGAAAATTAGCAAGATAAATAATGTTTCTAAACGAGGATATGAAGAACAACCTTTCAGATATAATTGATGTAAATCAATTTGAACTGCACCTATTTTTTCGTCTTTAATTGCATCTTTGTCATAAATATCAAGATGAAGAGTATCTTGTCCGTAGAAATGATTACTAAAAAGGAAATGTCAGAAGAGAACAACCTCATGAAAACGGTCATACAAAAAGAATGTTTGATTCCATGTTGGATTATTTGAATTCAATTTTGTTTTCGTCTTCTCTTTAGGGGTTTTTTCATCTAAATATATTTTCACATACGCGTCATTTGCACTAAATGTGTCTTTTTGTTTGAAATTGCGTCCTTCGACAACAGTCACTTCTAATTGACCCATTCTAATACCAGTAAAGTTCTTGTTTTCTGTGAATGGCAGAAGCAACTAAAACGTGAACGTCAATACTAGCTATACAATTGTCAATAGTGTGAGAAAAAAAAATAAAGGTAAAAAATTTTCTGTTCTCTACAACTGCGTGTCATTTGGAGCAACATATTGAATTCAATATTGATTTTTCTGTAATAGAGAATATATCGTCAATTCAATAGGTTGACGAGTAGCGACATCTTTTAAACGAATTTCTTTCCATTCGTTTCCTACATCGTTGGTAAAATATAGACTGATCGAGTTAAGTGCAGTTTTCTAGTTTTACTTTTTGAAATTCATATCGAAGATAGTTGATCAATGTTCACCTCTTCACTCACGATTCGTCATTTATTTGTTGGATTCAATACTAAACAATTGTTTATTCAAAGTCAGTCTAATATTCAATCTGTTTTCCCTCTAAGCTCATTTATCGTATTTAGGCACTTGTTTAGTTCGATATCAAAGTGGAGCGAATATTGCAAGAGCATCCAAGGATGTTGATCAATCACAATCGAATGAGAATGAACAAGAATTAGGAGCGTTTCAACAGTTCGATATCAGTGTTCAAACTCAGCAACGATTACAAGGTTCTCTCTTCGAATGATTGTAGAATTGTTTCTCTTCAAAATCAAATTTACTTTTAGATCGCAATGTTCGATACTTATTTCCGGTTCAATCTCGTTCATATAACGATATCATATCTGGAAAGGACTGTATCGTTCAAGCACGTGAGTTTTTATTAATTGTTTCCTATTGACAATATCTTGTTTCTCGATTGAAAAGGCACTGGAACAGGAAAAACATTGGCATTCAGTCTTCCAATCGTTGAACGACTTCAGCGTGAAATATCCAGAGAGCGAGGTCGTTTTCCTCGGTGTTTAGTATTGGAACCAACACGTGAACTTGCTAAACAAGTGACGAATGATTTCCTTTCGATCAAATCTCGTCTTCTTTCAATTTCTACACTCTATGGTGGAAAAGAATATTCAAAACAAGAATTGTCATTACAGCGAGGCTCAGATGTCGTTGTCGGAACTCCTGGACGAATCAAAGATTTTCTCAATCAAAAAAAATTGAACCTTCAACAATGTCAAATCGTAGTTTTGGATGAAGTTGATCGAATGCTCGATATGGGATTTCAAGTAAACAACTTGTTTGTCTTTGTTTCCTACGAAAACAAACTTTTTTTCGCTTTAGCACGATGTTGATTATATTATTCGAAGTATTCCTCGGTCACAAATGATTGTCTTTTCTGCAACCATACCGTTATGGTTGAAAAAGAGTGTGGCACGCTATATGTCACCGAC